TTTATTCATTCAACAAACTTGTATTGAGGTTCTGCCGAATGCTAGAAAATGGGCGATGAAGAGAGAACAGGAAGAAAAATCAGAGTAGGTATCCAATTCTAAGGGGACTTGCTCTGATGGGAAGGTGGGTACAGAATCAACCAGGTACAACAGAAAGCTAAATATTAATCAACATGAAATAGAGATGCTGTTGCTCTAGCTGGTTTGGCTCAATGGATAGAGCATCAGCCTTCGGACGGACGGATCCTGGGTTTGATTCTGGTCAAGGGCACATGCCTGGGGTTGTGGGCTCGATCCCCAGTAGGAGGCATGCAGGAGGCAGCTGATCAATGATTCTCTCTCATCACTGATGTTTCTATCTCTCCCTTCCTCTCTGAAATCAATAAAAATATATTTAAAGAAAAGAAAAGAAAAAAAGAAAAAGAAAGGAAATAGAGATACTGTCCTGTAGGAGGTGTGCTCATTTTGACTCAGCAAATCTAGGGAGACCGCATACAGGAAGTGGCATTTAAAACATGTTCTGAAGGATGAATATGCTTCAAATAAGAGTTCTATGCAGACTCCAAAATTATTATTTGTCCCATAGTTCTATATCATTTTGATTCAGGCTCTGACAAATAAAAAAAAAATCATTCCATTTCTTTCCCACATTGACTGAACATCTGTAAAGTGCCAAGTACAGTGCTCAGGCCTTAAGGAGGACAGCAATGAAGAGGCTTAATTTCTGATCAGAAGGCACTTAGCAGTGTGGTCAAGCAGACCCGCACAGCAACAGGTCATTTTGACACAGTGCAATTATCAAAGATGAAAATGATAAGCAGCATGCAGGATGAGCAGGGGCAGAATATGTGCTCCAACCAGTCACTTGGATTGTCTAAGGGCCTGGCTCCTGGTCAGTGCCAGGGAACCAGCTTCTCCAAGGCCACTGCCTGGCATTCGAATGGAACAACTGCCCCTGTGGGGAAGGGAAAAGGATCGGCCGGGGGCAGAGTGTGTGGTAGCAGGGGCGTTGCCACAGTCGTGGTTTTGCCATAATAGAAACATTGAGGCAACACAACCCTGTGGTCAGGTCTTGGGTTACTTCCTCCTTTGTATTTTTGCACAACATTCCACAGAGCCAGTGTCACCAGGCTGAGGGTAAACAGCCTTTCATTTTCATCATTTTTTTTTTGTAACAATAGGTCTCATGAAGATCATAGGGAACTATACATTTGAAAGGAATAAAGACATTAACTTGCTTCTTGCCACTGTTTTTTTAATAGCAACCTAAACAACAAGAAAGCATATTGGAGCCAGCGATTTGGAATAGGACCAGGAGTTGTAAATAAGACCTGACACTATTACCAGTGTTCCTGGGATAGACACTTCTCTAATTCTCCTTTCCTCACAGGTAAGTGAGAATTTCACACACCGTCCCCAGCACCTGGGTAAACAGCCCTGCTGGCACCTCCCAAACTGAGAGCAATAGGTGCTTTAAAAAAAAAAAAAGATTTTGTAATTGATTTTTAGAGAGAAAGGATGGGAGGGAGAGAGAGAGAGAGAGAAAGTGAGTGAGAGATGCAACAGGGAAACATCTATTTGCTGCCTCCTGCATGCCCCCAATTGGGAATCATGCCCAAAACTAGGGCATGGGCCCTTGACCTAGAAGAGTACGGGCAACCTTTGATGCACAAGAGGACACCCAACCAACTGAGCCACACCAGCCAGGGTGGAAGATGGGAATTTTAAATCTACAGAGTTGTTTATAGAATTAAATTAGGTAGGACAAGCTTTACATGTTTTTTAAAATTATAATTGACATGCAAATGCCAGGTACTTCCCAACATTCCTTTCTCACCTTTCACAGGGACCAATGCATCTAGTCATTGTTGCCTCTGAGGTCAGACCCAGTTTCTCTCTTTACTGATTCCACAAACACAGACATTTTCTGAGGACTTACTTTATGTCAAGCCAACAAAGGAAGTTTGAGATCATCGATGATAAGAAAATCCAATTTAAAGTCAAATAATAAAAGTACTGCAATGAATCTAAGTGGAAATTGCAGATTCTAAAAATCAAAAGGAAACCAGTAGAGATGTCACTCTTCTTTCATTCTCTGGACATGAGAAACTCCAGGACTATTACAAGGAAAACTAAAGTGTGCCAGTTTCAATAAATCCATATCTATCCTGGCTTGCCATTTCTCTGGTTTGTCTTTTCTTAGTATACAACTCAAAACTAAAATATTATGTTCTCCAAATATTTATATATAAATCCCCATCCCTACCCTGCCATTACCTGCAGACAAAATAGCCCCCGGTATCATTCTGATCTTACAATCTGTTTGAAAATTCTTCCAAGACTGTGCCAATGAATTACTCATATCACACATGACAAATACCCAAGAAATGGGTAGTCAAGGCACCAGAAACATAGGTATGTTTCCAAAAAATGTAGGTGTGAGTATTGGCACAGGTAACTGATTAAAATCAAATAGATAAAAAGTTGTTGACTGGTTAAGACCAGCCAGAGACATGTGAGTTTGGTATCAAAGAAATGATGACAATTCAAGGCTTTAAAGATCTCTTCACTTTCTGATTTCAAGGGACAGAGAGTAGACTGAGGTGTGCGGGCATCGGCAGAGTAGAGCGTCTTGAAGAAGTCAGAAGGAGTTTCCCCTCCACGAGAAGACAGCAGCCGAGGCTGGAAGGAGAAAGATGAGAAATAAAAGAATGGGAGGAACAGAAAGAGGAAGAGAAGGTGGAGAACTATAAATTACAAGAAAGAGGGCCCCAGCCTCCCAGAACATCTGTAGAGTAGAATGGCTATCTGGTAAACCTAGGCCAATGTGACTAAACATAGTCTTAAATAAACGTGCCTGTAGTCTAATGATGACACTAACACAGCAGACACATACTGACCAAGTAGCCTGGAATAATAGATGGCTCCAAAGGTAACATGTGCTCGGACTATGTATTATTAGTTATCTATTGTTGTATAAAAAGTTACCCCAAAACTTGGGGTCTTAAAATACCATTGATGATCGAACAGTGTCCATGGGGCAGAAATCTGGGCAACACTAAACCGGCTGCTCTGCTTTCGTGTGTTTCACAGGCTGTGATCACAGTGTTAGCTGGGGCTGGTGGCTGCATTCCTGTTTATTTTCTTTTGTTGTTGTTGATCCTCACCTGAGGATATATTTTTCTTTTTTAAAATGTATTTTTATTGATTTCAGAGAGAGAGAGAGAGAGAGAGAGAGAGAGAGATTAAAACATCAATGATGAGAATCATTGATTGGCTGCCTCCTGCACACCTCGTACTGGGGATCGAACCCACAACCCAGCCTTGTGCCCTTGACTGGAATTGAACCCAGGACCCTTCAGTCCCCAGGTCGATGCTCTATTCACTGAGCCAAATCAGCCAGGATAGGATCTATTTTTCCATTGACTTTTAGGGAGAGTGGAAGAGAGAGGGAAAAACAGAGAGAGACATCAATGTGATAGAAACACATCGATTGGTTGCCTCCCGCATGAGCCCCAACCAGGGCCTGAGCCTGGGAGGAGCCTGCAACCAAGGCCCTTAGTCCACAGACCCACACTCTATCTACTGAGCCAAAAGGACTAGGGCTGCATTCCTGGCTATTAAGCTGAGGGCCTCATTGCCTTACAGGCATTTGAGACAGCCATCAGGTCCTTGCCATGCAGGCTTCTCCAACATGGCAGCTTGTGTCATCAGAGTGTGCAAACCAAGAATGTAACAGAGGGTCTAGCAAGACAGAAGCAGCAGTCTTCTGTAGCCTCATCATGGTAAGTTACAACCCACCAGTTTTGTCTTATTCTATTCAGGAGAAGTTAGCTTTAGCCCACCTTCTAGTGCAGCAGTTCTCAACCTGTGGGTCACGACCCCTTTGGCAGTCGAACAACCTTTTCCGAGGGGTCACCTAAGACCATCCTGCATATCAGATATTTACATTACGATTCATAACAGTAGCAACATTACAGTTATGAAGTAGCAACGAAAATAATTTTACGGTTGGGTCACAACATACAGGAACTGTATTTAAAGGGCCAGAAGGTTGAGAATCACTGTTCTAGGGGGTGGGGGGTGAAGGGGATTATGCAAGGATTCTTGAGAGCCATCTTTGAAAGCTGCCTACCACAGGCTAGACCGGCTCTCCTAACAAGATCCTGCCTGTGGCATCACCTTAGGAGGAAAGGGAACTCAAGAAAAAAAAAATGAGATGAACGTTTCTGCCTGGCTGACCCACTGGGGCCTCCAAAGTTGGTTTACAGGAAACGAGTAAGGAACCCATCCTGCATATCTGAGCTGAGGACTCACTTCTTTCTCATTCCTTTTCTCTCGTTTCATTCTCCAAGCCATCCTTTGACATATACATCATCACATGTATCATTGAGAAAGCTGCAGCTCCAACAGGTTAAGTCACATCTATGGAGGACAGAGTTTGCATCGCAGTCTATGTAGCTCCCAAACCCACACTGTTCCCATGACCCCATGCGCCTCAGTGTTGCTGGAATGTGTATTTTTCTTGGATCGCTTGCAACAGCAGAGATCTGCAGGGACCACCAAGATCCAGTTCTTTGAGCGCTACTGAAATATAAATACAGAATGCAAACTAAAATATAGGATGCAAACTCCCACCCGTAGATAGTTTCCTGTAAAGCCCAGCGTTTGCTGGATTAACCTATTCCCAGTGCTGACACTCCCCCAGATCAAGCTCCTGGTAGTCAATGGCATTCTGAATGTCATAGCATCAGTGCGTTATCACCAATAAATTGTATTGATTGGAACAAAGCACTGGTATGCAGCGATTCATACTGAAAACGGCCAGAGATGAGCCGCAGGAAGTGTGGCTTGAGTTTTTCTTATGCTCACGCAGCTGGGGGTGCCCAGTGAGCTCAGAAAAGCATCTCCCTGGTGACCTGATGTACACACACACACACACACACACACACACCCTGTGGCAGCCCCAGGAGACAATCTTGAGTCTCCACCATGCTCCCCAGCGAGACTGTCACTCAGCCCGACAGGAAGTGTGACCTCATCCTGCCGCTCAGCCCCTGGTTTCGCAGGCTGCTTTTGAACGAAAACAAGAACAGTTTGAAGGCAGACTTTCCCAAGAACTACATGCTCTTCTGTTCTAGGAAACAGCCAAAGGAACCAGAGGCGGCTGAGGACGGAATCCCGCAAACGCCTGCACCTGCACCGCGCTGGCATCGCCGAGAAGGAGGGGAAGGTGGGGTTTCCCCCATCAGGCGACCTCTGCACCTGTTGACAGCCCGGCATTCGTCCGTCCGTTGCAGCTGAAGAGCGGCTACATCCTGGATTATTCTGCTGACCGTCTTGCTCGGGAGGCTTCGTCTTTCAGTAACTATTTTGTTATCTGTCAATTGGAAAGAAAGACAGGGAGCTCCGTTGGAAAGGACGCGTGTGGGCAAATTACTTTCCCAAACAGATCTGTCGCTCTGAGGGAACTGGTAGACGGGATCTGTTTCTTGAGAAGTTTGAGAGCTGTTTACTGGCGTCTTCTTCCCAGTTACTAACACTCACTTAACAGTTCACGTGCTGCTGTTGCTGCCATGGGTACTCGCAGGGTACGGCTACAGGACCTTGCTTTCGGCTGCAGGACACGTCAGCTCCGAATTGAACTGAGTGCTCGGGGGAAGCTGATACAGGGTCATTGGGGCTGGGCATAGTCATATGATAGTGATCAAAAGTCAAAGGACCAGGGGCATGCTATTCCATTACCGTGAGACACAATTATTCTACATTCCAAGCAAGTGAGCTCTCTGAATGTGTGCTTTGATTTCAAAATCATGCAAGGCGTGCCAGGCAGTCCTCCTGACTTATCTGAAGGTCTGGATAAGCCACGGTCAATGTTTTCCAGCAGGTTTTGCGTATAACTTACTGGAAGAATCCACCTAGAGCTCCAGACTTATCCTGGGTCAATGCTGTGTGTCACGGCTACAAAAACAACGCATTGCTAAGTTATCACATTTTTTAAATGCGGATGGAGGTGGTGATTCAGAGAAGCGTTCAGACCTGCATTAGAAAGCTGTTAGGACAGTGATACCAACACAGCTTAATAGTTAACAGAAGGTAGATCTATGTGGTGAGTTGGTAAATGGTCATAGTTGACGTGATGTGCGCACTTGGGGATGTGTTTAAGTTGTAATTGCGAATGTACATAGTATGTCCTCGGGAACGGAGTATTGAAATCTGCCCAGTGCTGGACTATTTTTAGTGCAATTCTGCTTACGATGCGCAGGAATGTCCAGGCTGATAGCAAGTACGAAAGACCACTGGCCCTCTCTGTGACTACCTGTCAGTGGTCCAAGGTGTCGGATGAGGGCCAGACACCAATCCCACGCATTACTTGAAACTTGATAATGAGGTGGATGTGTTTTGGATGATGACAATATAAATGAGTTTATTTAGAAAGCTCTAGGACCAATCTTTTTTGTTGTTGTTCAGATTAAAAAAAAATTATTGTTGATACTATTACAGATGTCCTCCCATGTTCTTAATCAAATAACTCATTTTTATTATTTTTATTTTGCTGACAAGTCAACCTTTGCAAGTCTAGCTTTCCCCAAGAAAATGTTGATCTTATTTACAGGAAGACATCATTTAGATGCGCTGAGCAAGACAATGGAGAATGTAGAGCAGGGACAACCCCAGGGGTCCTTCAATCTGGTCCCCTGCCTCCCACCCAATATCTCTGCCTTATTTCAGTATACACATCCGACAAGTGCAATTAGTAGATGCCATCTGTTTGGGCATCACTTTTCTATTTTTGACATATAGTCCACCTTTTTTTAAAAATGTCTTTTGCAGGAAATCTGTGAAGTTTGAACAAGCAGCCTTCCCAAGATGTCCCGAACATCTCAACTGATGTCAACACCGGTGGCAAGTCAATGTGGGCGAATTGCGACACGCAATTATCTTCTGAATGATTAGACTTCTTTGAGCCATTTCCTTGCTTTGATTTTGCTGATACTCGTACCATTAACCATCTGTCAGGAGCTTGTGCTTCTGAAATGCCAGTGTTCACGTTGGCAATGATTTTGACTTCATCTCTTTCCTTGAGGGAAATGTGATATTTTTTTCCTTTTAGTAGAAAAAAAAGTCATCAGTTTTTTTTAGATGCCTGTGCATAAATATGAAAGGAGATTGTTTATCCGCTACTATTAAGATGCAAAACTGTTTGTCTATTTAAAAAAACACACACACAACACACTGAATGATTTTGATAGCTACTTGCAGAAAACAAGGGCGTAACTTGTTAAAACGGTAGTGGTTTCGAGTTTCTTCCTTCCTCTTGTTTTTTTTCTCCCCAAACCCTGCTTCCAACCCTCCCTCACACACCTACTATTTTCTCTCTTTTTAATGTTATTAACGTTATTGGGGTGATGCAGGTTAATAGGATCATGTAGGTTTCAAGTGTAGATTTCTGCATGATCTGTATATGGCATGTGTGCCCCCCAATCAAACCTTCTTCCGTCACCATATCTTAGTCCCCCTCCACGCCCCATCTCCCCACCTGCTTCCCTCTGGCTACCACCGCCCTGCTGTCTGTGCCCATGAGTTGCAGTTTTAATATATCCCATCATATGATTCTTAGCTTTTTCTGACTGACTTATTTCACTTAACACAATGTTCTCAAAGTCCATCTATGTTGTCACAAATGGCAGTATTTTGTCTTTGCTTGTGGGGGAGTCGTACTGCCAGTGTATGTGTGCCGCATCTTCCTCCATAACTCAGCCAGGCCAGCCGAATGTCTCAATTCCTCTGGCTGCTTAGCTATTAATGGTCAGTAATGGGATCAAGTTTCGCTGAGCCTGTCGGGTAGAAGTACTCACGGCATTTCTGTATGATACAAAATTCTGAGTTTAGAATATCAATGAACTACAACGTTCCCCAAAGGAAATCCATGGCCACGCTTTTGCTTAACCTGGAACGAATGGATGGATGCCTTTGCTTCTTAATTAAGAATACTTCCTACATTAGAAGATCTTTTATGTGAAACCAAACGTTATTGTTTTCCCTCCACGAATGCCTTTGCTCATTATTGTACAACGCAAGTGCCTTAAAGTGCGCTGTTGAGAGAACTCCAGGGCAGACGATCGATCCCTCAGAAATACTGAGTCGGCTAAAACAGCCAGCGCATGGGGCAATTGGTTTCGGTTTTCTCCAGCTCCACACAAGGTGCTGTCTCCCTGCTCTTCATGGGTCAGGTGGATGCTGATGACGTATTATTGCCTCATCCTGCCCCCAGGGCCTCTAAAGGAGTGTTGAGCAGGAGAAGGCACAGGAGACAGAAGCCCCCACACTATTCTAGCTTCCCGTGGGGACCTGGCTGGTGACGGTTTGTGTTAGAGCCCATTCGCTGGATGGCTGCCCCAGCTGGAGTCTCTGCAGAGGCTGGGACATCAGCTATTGGCATCTTCCAATTTGCGCTGCCACTGTTTGCAGCGTGGGTGCTGGTGAGGGCGCTGGTGAAGGTGCTGGTGAGGGTGATGAACGTCTACTTCTCTCTCCTTGGCTTGTGCAGGTTCCTCCGGGTCCGAGAGAGAATCTGCTGGAGAGCTGTCTCCCACGTGCATTTTCCCAAGGTATTCCATGGGGCTCTTTACAAGAAAAATCAATCAAATTCTCCTCCTGGAGGCACTATTTTGTTATGTTCCTGGTTTAAAAACAGGAAGGTTTAAGACTTACTTGCCTTGTTCGTTTATTTTATTCTTTAGATTCCACATAGAAGTGAAATCATGGTACATATTTGTCTTTTTCGGACGGACTTGTTTCACTTAGCGTAATACTTTCCAGGTCCATCCATGCCGTCGTAAGTGGTAAGACTTCATTCCTTTTTTTGTGGCCAAGTAATCTTCCATTGTATATGTCCTTCTTTCCTCTTCAGCTTTGCCTGTGATTTCCTGGCTGGTGACGGTTCCTTTGACTGCTGCTCCCTAGATCCCCTGACAGGCTCCTACCTTCCCTGTCGCCGAAGTCCCAGGCTCCTCACCAACGGCTACTACATTTGGACAGAGGACAGTTTCCTCTGCGACAGAGATGGCAACATCACACTGAGCCCATCCCAGACCAGTGTGATGTACAGGGAGAACTCAGTGAGGTAAGTAGGAAATATTACATGGAAAAATCAAAAGTCCCATCCAGCCATCATTCATTCATTCGCCCATTCAGTGTTCACTTATAAGGAGCCCATTCCTGCCCCAGACTGTGGAAGCACAAAGGCTAACCAGGGGCAGGTAGAGCAGACAGGTAAGTAACAGAAGCAGTGATCTGATGCAGGTGCCGGGGTAGAAGTCTGAATGGGGAGGGATGAGGGGAACAGGGAGCAGGCCGATTTTACCTGGGGGGACAGGCTAAAAGACCCTCCCTAGAGATGGCGATGAGAGGCTTGAGAGATGCAGACGTCCCTTAAAATAGAAGCGGGAAAGGAGACTTCCGAAGAGAGTTCTGAGAGACCCCGATGCAAAGTGGGGAATGCAAGTAGTTTGGTGGAAATACAGCTCAGGGGCAGAGGGCTGGTCTGCAAGAGAGAAGACGGGGCGCAGAAGCAGGGGCTGCGTGGAGGGGGTCGCGTTCCAGGCTAAGCAGATAAACAGGAACCATGGACAGAGTGTCCGATTTCTCCATAGCAGGACAACATTGGTCAAAAGGTAGAGGACAGATTGTTGGGACTGTGCATGTGTCAGTAGCCAAAGTCTTTCAGAAAGACAGACAGTCACGTCACCCCTCCCCCTTGACACACTTCGGCGACCTCCCTTTGCTCGAACATCCAATCCAACTCCTTCACATAACATCCCAGGTTCTTCATGACCAGCCTTCTTACCTTCCCAGCCTCCTTTCCCAGCATCCTTTCCTAGCAGGATCCAGTATGGGACCTTATTGTGCTTCACTGAACAGGCCAGACCATCCTGATCAGCTCAGAGCTCTCCTCCCTCACAAACCTCCCCGGACTCCCGATGAGCTGTGGCCCCCCTCTGCTCCGACATCTGGTGCCCTTGGCCAGCGGCCCTGGTTCATCTGTCAGGGCACCCTCCCCTCCGTAGCGCAGTCACAGAGCAGAGACGGTGGAGCCGGGCTGCCTGGGTCTGCCTCTCAGATATGACCTCAGACAAATTACTCAACCTCTTTGTGCTTCGTTTTCTTGATTTGAAAAATGGGGTAACCATGGTGCCTACCTCGCAGGGCCATTCTGAGGATGGCGTGAGTTACTACACGTAGCCACTAGGAAAGACACCTGGCGCAGAATGAGCTCCGTGAAAGCCTTAGCTACAGCGTCCCTGTTCTTGTCTTTCTCCCACACTAGCTTGTATACTGCTGGTACCCGAGATTTTGTCTTTTATTTTATTTTTTAATCCTCACCCGAGGATACTTTTCCATTGATTTTTAAGGAGAGTGGGAGAGAGAGTGAAAGACAGAGAGAGAAACATTGATGTGAGAGAAACACATTGGTTGCCTCCTGCACGAGACCCAACCAGGGCCTGGGGCCGGGCGGGAACCAGCAACTGAGGTACATGCCCTTGACCGGAATCGAACCTGGGACCCTTTAGTCCACAAGCCAACGCTCTGTCCACTGAGCCAAACCTGCTAGGGCCCAAGGTTCTGTCTTTTATCTTGGCATCCTTCACTTGGATCCCAGCAGCTGTCACACCCGGAAACGTAAGGAACTTCTGTGGAACGAATCAAGGGAACAAGTACAATGAGCGAGCTTCGTGGACCTGAATGGGAGAGAGGGGCTCTGTTCCCCAACTCGCTCCCACTAAATCCTCTCTCTTGAACCTGGGGGTGACTGCTCTCCATTACCCACCATGCTGCTTTCCTTTCTCCCAGGATATTTAGGAAGAAAAAGAGGATCCGCAGCTAGATCCTGGCTGCGGGGAAGCATCTTCGCTGATGCTGACTCGTCCCCGGGCGAGGCCAGCTGGCTGGAGGGAGCCGGCAGCCTGGATGCGCAGCCTTGCAGCGACAGTGGTGAGTCCGCCCCTCCTTTCCCCAGTGGGACAGCTCCGAGTGGGCTCCGCAACACCTGGCCCTGAACCAATGTCAGATCCGGGGACCACAGTCATTTGGACAGAGAGGATGGGCCACATTTTAAAAATTCACCTACAGCTCTCTCCCCACTACTCATATGATCCAAATACATATGTGTCCATGTCCTGCAAGATAGCCCAGAATTTACATGACTAAATTATCAAGCTGATAAAACCTGGAAAATACATGCGCATCTCCATGGTGTCCTTTCTGCACGGGCTGTGGGTGGAGGAAGAATGCTGGGGTTGGAGTTCAGGTCCTCGTTTGGGCATATGTGATAGTTACTTAACTTGGCCAAATCTCAGTTTCCTCATTTTTAAACAAGACATGTAGGCACAGTGTGATAGTAATATATTTATATATTATCATATATATCAGTATATGATACTAATATATGACACAGTCCTATTGAAATATATGCTGTATGTATATATTAGATATACATTATATAATACTATTCACATTATGTAATATATTATACATATAATATGTACACATATGCATATAAAACATAGTAATGGAAACTCAAAGCATATTTTAATATTAAAAGGAACAATAAAGCCCTGACCAGTTTGGCTCAGTGGTTAGAGCGTCAGCCTGCAGACTGAAGGGTCCTAGGTTCGATTCCAGTCAAGGGCATGTACCTTGGTTGCGGGCACATCCCCAGTGGGAGGTATGCAGGAGGCGGCTGATCGATGTTGCTCTCTCATCGATGTTTCTGACTCTCTATCCCTCTCCCTTCTTCTCTGTAAAAAATCAACAAAATATATTTTTAAAAAAGGAACAATAAATATTAGGCATAGTTCAATGCTGGATGCTCAGGAATTTGTAGTTATAATTACTTTTATTAGTGGGAAGGAAACAATGGGTATTTATCGGGACACTTAGAGGAAAATATTAAATGTCTAGGGGTAGGCAGGCTCCGGGATATGGCAAAGCTCAGGAACCTGGTGCTTGGAGGACCGGAGTTTGGGAATCGCTGTTCTGAAGGCAGTGCTTCCCAGCTTTGGGAATTCACATCTAGGTTTCCCATGGCTGCCTCTTCAAAATGTGTCCAAACAATTTTAAAGCAATTGGACCACAGCAGCGCTGCACATGCTTGAGGTACCTTGTTAAAAATCCTCAAGGTTTCCAAATATCTTCTAAATATAGCGAATCAAACCGCCCCCTCCGAAATCGGTGATTCGTCAGCCGGGGTGCGCACGGGGCTTGGAGATCTCTCAGCTCAGCTGTCAACTGTGATCAGCGCTCCCCAGGCCCCATGACTCTGATCAGCAATTTCTTTTTCTCTGGAAATGTAGCCTCGTTAGAAAGACTCAAGAATTCAAAATTAAGTTGTTTTGCTGTTTTCTCTGGGCAATGGATGCAATCAAAACTCACTTCCCCTCATTTTCTCTTGCTTCATTTTTCAGGCTAAAAGAATTTTTTTTTGTCATTGCCTATTTTGTTGATCCTCAGTTCACCCCTTTCACAGCTGTGTCGAGACCCCTCCCCTCATTAGTTGCAATTCATTCTTCAGGCAGCTCCCTGGACCCCAGGACTGTGATGGGGGATGCATTCCTGGAGGAGGCCCCTGAGTCACACTGAAATGGGTTGAGGACTCACGCAGGGAGGGCTGGGCGGGACTTCCCACTCTGTGCCTGCCAGTCCTGAGACAGAAAGGCAAGTTGGCCTGAGGCAGGGAGCCCAGCTGGAGGTCTGTGGTTTTCCTGGGAGCTCACCCTTGCTTCTCCATGAATATCCTCGCTGGGAACTTCTGTGTGTGGCTTTGTGCTTCCTTCTGTAGCCGGCAGCAATGCTCACTGTACAGGCGGAGGGTATGGACATGTGCTGGGAAGAAACAGGCCAGCCTTCTAAACAGAAGTAAATGACGCTAGACCAGCCGGCAAACAGGACGGAATGAATATCTTCAAATCTAACACGAGAGAGCTAATCGCCTAAACGTTTCTACGTTATGACCCTTTCATTTACTATGAAGAGCAGAGGAAAAATTAAATATCAGTTGGGGGCAAAACATGTGTTTTAAGAGATGAAAAATCCTTGACCATTTTTTAATGCTAAGATTCTGTTTGTGGTTTCCCTCCTTAATGTCATCTTTTCTTTAAAAAATCCGGAGTTCCACGTAGGATACAGTTTTCTATTTCATCTAACTCTCAGAGGCAGTGGTACGAGCTCAGAGGGCAGCCTTGGGCACTAGCGCAGGACACTTTTCACAGCCGTGGCAGCCTCACGCACATCTTTTCCGATCTTCAGTAGGTGCCACTCATGACTGTATAATCAGCCATGAAAGTTCCTAGTTCCTTCTCATGTCCGCCTTAACTTGACCACTTAGCCTCTTCTCTTCATTAAGCGGCTTTGTGGAGGTCCGATGGGTATATGGAGGACTGTACGTGTTTGATGTACCTAATTCAGTGAGTCCAGACATACGCAAACACCCGTGGCACCGTCCCCATCATCCAGGTGACATCCAACACATCTAGGAGTTTCCTTGAGTCCCCCTTGTGGTTTGTTTGGGTTTCTTTGATTTTTGTGGTAAGAGCATTCAGCGTAAGATCTACCCTGCTGACAAGTTCTGCGGAGCGTAAAGCACCGTGTTCTTGACTATAGGCACCCTGCCCTATCCCAGCAGATCCCCGGGGTCTTCTCTGGGGATGACCCTTGCGTGCAGCCTCAGTCTTTCCCTCCGCTGTTGTCTCCTCGGTCACTGGCCCTGCAGACACCCCGGGACAGCAATCAAAGCCGGGAATCCGTTCTGATGGTTCATGATTTCTTTCAGAGCCCCCTGGCTGTGTATCACATATTACAACCACGTTATTTACCAAAAAAAAATGCACTGAGGCCTGCCTAGGGTGCCACCCTCACTCAGACAAACCATCGCTTCGGTGCCTGTGGCGTACATTCCAGACTCCTCAGCTGGAGTCCAACCCTGTGACCCGCCTCCAGTCTGGGTTCCCAGCTTCATGCTCCCCGAGCTCCCCTCGGTCACGTGGGCCCTGTTCTCACTCACTGGCCCTGGCACCTGTCACCCGACTGTCATGCCCCGCCCTTTGCAGGTCTCTGTGCTGAAGACCCTCCTCTCAGCGTTCAAGGAGGATGGCAGCGGGAAGTGCCATCTCCTCTAGGGGTCCATGTCCCGTCCTACTCCAGTGGCATCACTCTTGTCACGGTCACTAGCTACAGTGCACTGAGAGTCGCTGAACACACACACACACGTGCACACACATGTGCACACACGCTTACGGAGCCTCTGCCCTTCCAGGCGGTGATTTTGACTGTGCGCTGACTGATGACTGGGCGTCGGAGCGGCTGGAGGCAGAGTCCGTGGCCGCCTCCTCCCCGGGCCACGTCACACCTGAGACTCCCAGAGAAGACTCCCTCCGCGGGGCCCTGCAGCCCCGGGGGACAGCTTCTGAGCATCTCCAAGGGAATATTTTGGATCATTCAAGTGAGTTTTTAAAAAATCTTTGCCACACCCAAGTAATCCTTCCTCGCAGGGCCTGAGAGCAGTGTAGAGGTAGGTGACTACCACACACGGAGGAGGGGGCATCACCCTGCCTGAGGGGGGAGGAACTGGGGTGCTGCCGCCCCGGGGGACGCATTCACAGAGGGGGTGACTGCCTCCGGGTGTCACCTTAGAGCAGTGGTTCTCAACCTTCTGGCCCTTTAAATACAGTTCCTCATGTTGGTACCCAACCATAAAATTATTTTCGTTGCTACTTCATCACTGTAATGTTGCTACTGTGATGAATCGTCATGTAAATATCTGATATGCAGGATGGTCTTAGGCGACCCCTGTGAAAGGGTCGTTCGACCGCCAAAGGGGTCGCGACCCACAGGTTGAGAACCGCTGCTTTAGAGGCATCGGAGGAACTGGATCGGCAGGAGTTTGGTTTGTTTGGTTGGTTGTTGTTTTTTAAAATATGTTTTTATTGATTTCAGAGAGGAAGGGAGAGGGAGAGAGAGAGAAACATCAGTGATGAGAGAGAATCATGGGTAGGCTGCCTCCTGCCCACCCCACACTGGGGATCGAGCCCGCAGCCCCGGCATGTGCCCTGATGGGGAATCGAACCGTGACCTCCTGGTTCATAGGTCCACGCTCAACCACTGGGCCACGCCGGCCGGCCAGGCTTGTTTTTTAAAAACCCTGAAGGCATTTGGCAAAATGTTAAACTTTATTAAATCTGGGTAGTGCATACACAGGTGCCTGTTATTCTATCTTCATACTTTGCTTTGTATTTGACACATTCCATACAAGGAAAAAAGAAAAGCGGGGGGAGCCAAAGCTGGTTTGGCTCAGTGGATAGAGCATCGGCCTGAGGACTGAAAGGTCCCAGGTTCGATTCCAGTCAGGGGCATGTGCCTGGGTTGCGGGCACATCCCCAGTAGGGGATGTGCAGGAGGCAGCTAATCGATGTCTCTCTCTCATCGATGTTTCTGTCTCTCTCTCTCTCTCTCTCTCTTTCTCTCTCCCTTCCTCTCTGTAAAAAATCAATAAAATATATTAAAAAAAAAAAAAAAGAAAAGGGGGGGAAAAGTGTCCTTTCACGCCATGTCCCTGGCAAGGAAAAGTCCAGCGATGGAAAGCTACTACCGGGTTTTCCCGCCGGGAGCCAGTCTGGGATAAACTCAGCAAGCACATCCCTTAGTCTGTAGTTTGCTAACATCGTAGTATTCACGTTTCCACGCGGTGCCACGTGGAGCCTCGGGCATCGGCTTCCCAAGGTTCAAGGCCCAGCTCCCCACCTGTCAGCTGGGCCTCAGACAGCCCACGTGGCCTCGAAAACGCGACCTTTTACTCTGTCAGCGGAGATCCTCAGCGTCCCGCCTGATGGTGACGGACAGCAGGCGGGGGAGCACTGAGCATCATGGGTCCTGTGTGCTAACGACCCTGAGCGTGGGGCTTTGAAGCCCTTGGCAAATAGGCCGGGGCATGTCCACACGCTCCTGTACCTCTTCCCATGGTGATCCTCAAACGGCTCCGGTTCCTTTTAGGTGATTAAAACGCTACTCGGAGTTCTGGTTGGTTCAACCCATGCTGATCACGGGTGGAGAATCTGCCGTCTTTGCCCCTGTGGCTCCACAGCAAATGTGCTGCTGATAGCAAAGGGTTTTGCAAGGCCAGGCGGCTCAGGATCTACACTCCTTTTTTGCCC